TACGAAGATGCTGCAATAATTGAATATCTCTGTTCTGTTCTTTGAGAAGGACCTCTGCTTTTGAACATATAAAAAAAAAAAAACCTGAAAAATTGACGAATGTCGCTTTTCCGGGAAAAGACTTGTTCAACGAATGAGCCTCGTCACAGTTTCCACTTCAGTCCCAAAATTAATCGAAGGTGCCATGATCAAAAGCGCTGAAATGCGTTCAGAATGGTTTCATAAATTTTCAAATCACATGAATCAATGCTAAATTTTGTTTATTTCTACCCAAAATCATGGGAGAGAAAAAAAAGAAACACTGATGTTGTTCAGAAAAAGCGTTCAGTTTGTTTTTCAATATAGAGCTCAGCTGATTCAGTTTCCTGGTTTTTATTTTGCTGTTCAGAAAACAAGCACTTGATGAAATTCGGAAAAGTATTGAGAAAAACATTTATTTCAGTGGCAAAATGTTGTGTAAAATAAAATAATTTCAAATTTGAGTCCCAAAATTGAGATTGTCAGCATTCTTGTAATTTTTATCTTCTGTTATCAGATTCTCAATTGATGTGTAGCAATTACAAAGATTTCAAAACATCTCTTGATTCTTTATATTTAATACTCTACCATTGAAACTTATTGTTAATGTAGGTCTCACAACTTTCAGAGGTGAGATTTTTTTATCCTTATTACTGGGTTTGTACAATGAAGGCTACTTCAGTTTCTTATGAAAGAATGTAATTGTTTATTCTTGTATTCAACAATTATGGACAATAGAAATGTACTGGATTTCCAACAGCAGTATACAGAGAGCAATAAGCTCATGTTGATAGAAATTCAGGTGACTTTATAGACTTTGCAATCCAAGATTGGTCAAGACTGGTCAGACCTGGATCTGACTTCGTTCAAAAAGAGTTGTGTAACTTGTCAGTTTGTGACTCAGCATTGCTTGCAGTTGGGAATTGAGAAAATGCAGAAAAACTCAACTTTTCCATGGATTGTCTCATAGCAAGAAGGAATGACAGAAGTATTTGATTACATCTATGTGTAACATTTTTAAACAGAAAAAAGGTTTTGGGGAATCAATGATAAAGTATACAATATAATCTGATCATAAAGACTTTTTATTTGTTTTTGAAGTTACTCGGTCTGACTGCAATTTTAGGTATTTGATTCATTGATCCAATCAAAGATGGAAATGTGATTGTCATTGAAAAAAAGTTGAAGTAAAATTTGACTTCATATTTAAACTAGTATTTGCAGAGATGTTCTAAAGTTGAGATGGTCTGAAGATTATTTTCTGATCCCGTCGATTCATCTTGCCAAATTTTTTTTATTAAAAAACGTCTTCCAACAAAACGTTTAGCTGAAACAGTGCATAAATTTCGTCAAATTTCAACTTTGGAATTTTTCCTGAAGGAAATTGACAAATCATGGCTAAGTTTTGGTGATGCTCATCTTTAAATTTCATCAATGTAAAAGCGTGAACTCTTCACCGTAACTGTGTATGAATTCCAAATTTATGCTGAAAAAGGCTTGAATTCTATGTTTCATTTTGGTCTTCTCATGAGTTTCGGGAACAAATTGAATCCTTTGCATTATAATCTTGAGCCAAATGCGTTTAGCATTACAAAACACGTCCTGGGATTGATTCGTTTTGTAATGTGGGAACTCTTTATACACTCACTTGGCTAGCGCCAATTTGTTTCCCATTTTAAGTTCTGCAGAATTGTCGTGGACCGAGTTTTATTGCTCCAGGTCGATCAACCACGAAATGTCCTTTCCCTTTTTCAATCATTACTATCGTTAATGATTGTATTTAAAAATTAATTACGAATTATTTTAAAATTTTATTTGAATTGCTATCAGCTCGGTCGACCACGAAAAATTTGCTTTCCCTTTTCTCGGATCTCTCCCATCGTTGAAGATTTGCATTTAAAAAAGAGGGAAATCTTCTCACCCAACGGGTTATTTATTTATTTTATTTTCAGCCCGTTCAGTCAGTCGTAGCATTGGTAGATCGAATGATTTTCGCACGTGTGGCTGCTTGATTGCGAATCATTTGTAATGTTTCGAATTGTGCAAAATTGTCGTGGAGGGGGGTTTATTTTTGCTCCTACCCGGTCGACCACGTCAAGTTCCTTTGCAATTTTTTAATCCCTTTCATCATTGATAATTTGATTGAAAATACTGTGGAGGGAATCTCTCCTCACAACAGCGAGGTTTTTTTTTTATACTCAATTTTATTTTCGGCCCATTCTGCCTGTAAATTTTGCGCATGTGGCTGCTTGATTGCGAATAATTTCTCCCGTTTTGAATTGTGCAAAATTGTCGTGGAAGGAGTTTTTGTTACTTCAACTCGGTTGACCACGTCGAATTTCCTGGCCCATTTTTCAATCCTTTTCATCGTTTGAAATTTTGATTTGAAAGAAGATGGAAATCTCCTCTCGTCAATAGCGGTTTTGTTTCAATTGCTTTTTTTTTTTGGCCCGTTGTCAGCCAGTCAGTCGTATAAGCATGGCTTGATTGATCGATTGATTGATTTCGTACGTGTGACTCGACTTGATTGTTTTTTTTTTTTTTTTTCCTTTGTGCAGGACTCGGAGGACGAGATTTCCCATCTGGAATGGGAAACGGTGAAAGTGAGACTCGTGAAAGCCGCCACTTTGCGGCGCCTGGTCAACTCGCTCGCCTGCGCCGACACCGGCGAGCTGGAGAGCACCTATGTCAACATCTTCCTTGCCACATATCGCACCTTTGCCTCCACGGACCAAGTGTTGGACCTGCTTTTGCAGAGGTCAGTCAACATGATGATGATGATGATGATGATGCTGTTCTTTGTATCATTTGTTGTTGTTGTTTGTATAGGCGTATCAAGTATGAAGTAATCTACGGTGGGACCTCGAGAGAGATGAGGTCGTAATTGGTTTTTTTCTCTTGTCGGAAATTGTCCACATGTTGGATCACATGGTTTTCCCATAGATTTCTATGGGAAAACGTTTAATTGGTTCTCATGTTCATTGGAAAATGAGGGGAAAAGTCTCCCAAGAATTGAGTAAATTTATTTTCTAAACTTGAAGATATGGAGAATAACTGTGCAGGAAAAAAACTGCGCAGAATCGGATATTTTCTGATGAAAATGAGCCAATGAAAGCAAAGAACAAAGTCATGCTCAGCTACACTGTGCATGCATGAAGGGAACACTTTGAACAAAGATGAGCCCAAAATCATCCTGTTTAAAGCAATTTCATAATAAAATTTATTTCGAATTTTTATAAATTTGAATAGATCAATTTTATCAAGACCGTTCAAATTAGCTTCCTTCAATCAAAATTCGTGATAAATAAAGTTTTTAATATTGTTACCTTAAGTCACCAAAATGAACCAATTATGAATGCCATTGCGGTGAACATCTTCTTTGCGAGAGACTCAAAAAATTTTTGTTGTATTTTGTCAAGGTAAACTTTGTGGAGAAGTTCAACTCTATGGCTGGGTGATATGAAAGGAAAGCCTTCTCTCAGGTAGTGCAATAGAATATACTTTAATACACCATACGCATCAGAAGTTCCACAGACAATGAATACCAAAGGCGTGTTTGGACACCTCTTTATAGATTCTCTCAACATTGGTTGAATGACTTGTCCTGAACTGTTGAGGACCAAAAGTAAACCAGATCTAGAAACGCGTATGACTGTGATGTACTGTTAATTGCTTTGCATTAAGAATATAAAATAGGCTATGTGCCACATAGGAGAGATGCATAAAAATGGGTATTTTACACATGTTGTAGAACTCTCAAATAAACCCAAGATGGCAGTATTTTTTTAAAGAAATATTTCCGGAAATGTCAGCATCTCAAAATATTGTCTGGCATGTTGGGGCAGATTTTTCTCTGTTTCATGTGTTTCCAAGTCAAATTGTCCATATGTTGGGGTGTCCGTATGTAGGGGTCCCACTGTATTCTCTCCTAGCCTAGAGTACTACTTGACCTTTTCTTTTTCAAAAATTTACGCAAGAAATAGGGTGGGAGTGATACCAGGGGTTAAATCTTTTCATGAAAGCATTCTCAAAACCAGTGCCCCTTTAACATATCTCCTAGCCTAGAGTACTACTTGACCTTTTCTTTTTCAAAAATTTACGCAAGAAATAGGGTGGGAGTGATACCAGGGGTTAAATCTTTTCATGAAAGCATTCTCAAAACCAGTGCCCCTTTAACATGGGATTAAATCTAAGCTTAATCAAATAAAGAAGAAATTTATAATTCCAGATCTTGTCCATGGGAAATAGTGCTTCAAACAATAAAAATGTATTGAAAGAAATGAATTGAAGATACTACTGGATGTGAAGGAAGGATAAAATGTGCATCTAATTCAGCTGCCATGTGGGAGGATTGTACCAGTTGCACACAACCTCTGATGTACTGTATTTAGAGTAGGTGTGATCCTAAAAAAAAAAAGATACTACTGAATGTGAAGGAAGGAGAAAATATCCATCTAATTCAGCTGCCATGTGGGAGGATTGTACCAGTTGCACACAACCTCTGATGTACTGTATTTAGAGTAGGTGTGATCCTAAAAAAAAACATGTCATAGGACGTTATGTTCTGAGATTTTTTTATTTATGAAAAATTTCTTCAATTTACTGTATATTGATGTGGGAAAACCTTCCAGTTTCAGCCAGAGTTCTCCACTCATCCCACAGGGTGATGAAGTTTGTCAGGCTAGCTAAAAAAAATGAATTTTGTGGTTTCAACAATTATATAAATTATAGAAAAGGTAATGGGTAAAACTAAAAACAATAAAAAATTCAATCTTGAGCTAAAATCACTCTTTTCAAAGAGCTCAAACTACCTTTCTCTTGGGTAATATGAATCTGGGAGAACGTGCACCCAAGATTTTCATCTTAGTGGTACACAACCTTCTGATGCAGCAGTGACCTCAAAAAAACCTATCTTATTTACTTGAGTACCCCAGGCCCTGAAGTAAGACATGAAAAGGTCACAAAATTGTATCCCTGAGTAAGACATACACCCCATTCTTATCATCTCTAACACTGCAACATTTGAAAAGTGAAAAACACCTGAATTATAACTTGAAAATGAATTGAACTTGGATTCAACCGATTTACAATTGTTTGTATGAAATGCAGTTTTTTATGAAATTGGTTCGAAATTTCCCATTAGTATTGGGTGTAATGCACACCTGAACTTTTACAACTTCTTTGTACAATTTTTAAGCTATTAGCACTTCCATTCTTTCCTCTCAGTTTTGAGAAAAATTTTGCATGTGGTGCTCAAGTAAATACTGTTTACTGTGTCCAGTCAGCCGCCGGTTGGTCAATTCGCCAAATTCTAGAAAGAATCAGCATGATTCTTGTCACCCAATTGTTTGGGTGCCCCAACAATTGGGTGACCAGACCGCAGTTTGGTGGACTGGGGATTGGCAAGGCCAAGGCCAAGGACTGCTCTGGCTGGTGGTTAGACCAACCAATGGGTGCGCGACCATGATTTGACCAACTGGCAGATGACCCGGTACCACTGTATACAGGTGGTATCTTGCAATTTGACATCCTGCAAGTCAACTGTCTTGCAATTTGACAGTCAAAATTTGCTGGGAGGTGAACTCTCAATTTGACCTCTGCTGTGCAGTTTGATATGTGGGGAGACATGGAATGTTAAATGCTATGTAGAAAAAATGCCATTTGACGTTGTCTTGCAATTTGACCCTAGTCCAGTTCTGGATTAGGGTTGAATTGCAGGTTACCACGTGTAGTTGTTTATTAATGCATGAATGAATTTAATTCTGTAACACAACTAAAGATATTTCCTTATACCTCCTTGCGATTATATTAAAATTGCGCTGACTAATGCACTTTGAGCTATCATCACTTTTGTCAAAGTTACTTTTTCCTGGGTGATATGAATCTGGGAAAACCTGCGCCCAAGTTTTTTTTTTTCTCACTGGTCCTCAAGCTTGTGGTGCAACAGTTACTTTAAAAAGCCTGATTTATTAATGCATGAATGAATTTAATTATGCAACATAGCTGAAAAAGATTTCCCAACTTTCTTGTGATCCTAGTGAAATTGATTTGAATAATGGATCTTGGGCTGCACTCACTTTTTTCAAATTAATTTTTTCTCTGGTAATATGAATTTCCAGTTTACTGGGAAAAGTGCACCCAAGATTTTTATTCAACTTGTGCACAAGCTTGTGGAGCAAAAATGACTTTGAAAAAGCCTGATTTATTTGATGTATTAGTTAATTTAATTATGCAATGGATTCATTTTGTGCATGTTTTTTTTTTTTTTTTGTGCCAGGTACCGGCAGGTGGAAGATGATGCCGGCTACACGACGGTGCAGAGTGAGGAGCACGGACGCATGGAGAAGCGTGGCGAGGAATCGACGTCCCGAGCAGCTGCATCATCATCCAACGACGTCCACAACCACCGCGGAGATGAAGACGAAGAGGACGAAGATTACGGCTTGGGTTCCGCAGGCGCTGGCCTGGAACCAGACCAGGTGCGTAGTGCGCATTTGCGGGCCCTGCGCCAGGCCCTGGCCGTCTGGCTCGACGTCTACCCGTCCGACTTCACGGCCTCGCCCAACTGCCTCCTCACGCTCGTGGCGTTCCTCAAGGACCGCTGTCCCGACGACGTCCATCTCCAGGCCCGGGTGGCGGCCCTGGTTGGCCCGGATCCCAACGACTCGTCGTCTTCGTCGTCGCCGATGATGATGACGACGACGACGATGCATCATCATCATCCTCATCAGCAGCAGCAGCAGCAGGACGATGAAGAGGACTTGGTGTCGTTGGCGGGACGGGGTCGAAGCAGGAGNAAATGTATTGAAAGAAATGAATTGAAGATACTACTGGATGTGAAGGAAGGATAAAATGTGCATCTAATTCAGCTGCCATGTGGGAGGATTGTACCAGTTGCACACAACCTCTGATGTACTGTATTTAGAGTAGGTGTGATCCTAAAAAAAAAACATGTCATAGGACGTTATGTTCTGAGATTTTTTTCTTTATGAAAAATTTCTTCAATTTACTGTATATTGATGTGGGAAAACCTTCCAGTTTCAGCCAGAGTTCTCCACTCATCCCACAGGGTGATGAAATTTGTCAGGCTAGCTAAAAAAATGAATTTTGTGGTTTCAACAATTATATAAATTTTAGAAAAGGTAATGGGTAAAACTAAAAACAATGAAAAATGCAATCTTGAGCTAAAATCACTTTTTTCAAACAGCTCAAACTACCTTTCTCATGGGTAATATGAATCTGGGAGAACCTGCACCCAAGATTTTCATCTCAGTGGTACACAACCTTCTGATGCAGCAGTGACCTCAAAAAAACCTATCTTATTTACTTGAGTACCCCAGGCCCTGAAGTAAGACATGAAAAGGTCACAAAATTGTATCCCTGAGTAAGACATGCACCCCATTCTTATCAACTCTGACACTGCAACATTTGAAAAGTGAAAAACACCTGAATTATAACTTGAAAATGAATTGAACTTGGATTCAACCAATTCACAATTGTTAGTATGAAATACAGTTCTTGATGAAATTGGTTCAAAATTTCCCATTAGAATTGGGTGTAATGCACACCTGAACTTTTACAACTTCTGTGTAAAATTTTTAATCTATGAGCTCTTCCATTCTTTCCTCTCAGTTTTGAGAAAAATGTTGCATGTGGTACTCATTTAAATACTGTAAACAGGTGGTACCTTGCAAATTGACCTACTGCAATTCAACTGTCTTGCAATTTGACAATAAAATTTGCTGGGAGGTGAACTCTCAATTTGACCTCTGCTGTGCAATGGAGAGACATGAAATGTCAAATGCCATGTAGAAAACATGCCATTTGACGTTGTCTTGCAATTTGACCACTCTGTAATTTGACCCTAGTCCAGTGCTGGAATAGGGTTGAATTGCAGGTTACCACCTGTTGTTGTATATTAATGCATGAATGAATTTAATTCTGTAACATAATTAAAGCTATTTCCCTGTACCTCCTGTTGATTATACTGTATTAAAATTGCTCTGACTAATGCATTTTGAGCTATCATCACTTTGGTCAAAGTTACTTTTTCCTGGGTGATGTGAATCTGGGAAAACCTGCATTTTTTTTCACTGGTCCTCAAGCTTGTGGTGTAACAGTTGCTTCAAAAAGCCTGATTTATTAATGCATGAATGAATTTAATTATGCAACATAGCTGAAAAAGATTTCCCAACTTCCTTGTGATCCTAGTGAAATTGATTTGAATAATGGATCTTGGGCTGCACTCACTTTTTTCAAATTAATTTTTTCTCTGGTAATATGAATTTCCAGTTTACTGGGAAAAGTCCACCCAAGATTTTTATTTAACTTGCGCACAAGCTTGTGGAGCAAAAATGACTTTGAAAAAGCCTGATTTATTTGATGTATTAGTTAATTTAATTATGCAATGGATTAATTTTTTGCATGTTTTTTTTTTTTTGTGCCAGGTACCGGCAGGTGGAAGATGATGCCGGCTACACGACGGTGCAGAGTGAGGAGCACGGACGCATGGAGAAGCGTGGCGAGGAATCGACGTCCCGAGCAGCTGCATCATCATCCAACGACGTCCACAACCACCGCGGAGATGAAGACGAAGAGGACGAAGATTACGGCTTGGGTTCCGCAGGCGCTGGCCTGGAACCAGACCAGGTGCGTAGTGCGCATTTGCGGGCCCTGCGCCAGGCCCTGGCCGTCTGGCTCGACGTCTACCCGTCCGACTTCACGGCCTCGCCCAACTGCCTCCTCACGCTCGTGGCGTTCCTCAAGGACCGCTGTCCCGACGACGTCCATCTCCAGGCCCGGGTGGCGGCCCTGGTTGGCCCGGATCCCAGCGACTCGTCGTCTTCGTCGTCGCCGATGATGATGACGACGACGACGATGCATCATCATCATCCTCATCAGCAGCAGCAGCAGCAGGACGATGAAGAGGACTTGGTGTCGTTGGCGGGACGGGGTCGAAGTAGGAGTGCTGGCAGAGTGGTGAAACGACGGCTGGGCAGTAGTTTTGATGACGGGTCGCGGTGCGGGTCGCCGAGTCCCTCGTTGTCGGGGCCCGGGGCGTACCCGTCCTTTCTCCACGTGCCCGAGGACGTGTTTGCGCAGCAGCTGACCCGGATGGACAAGGTACAGTACTGTGCAAGTGAACAATAATATGCAGTTGAACCTAATTCGATGTAACTCGAACCCTCCCCGAGAGACGACTTGATTATCTTCTTTCCTTCTTTTTCTGTTTTATTTTTAAATCCCCCGAGTCTGAATTTCCTTGAGAAAACGAGGCATGAAACTCTCCATGAGTCCAATTTTCTGAGGCATTTTTTTCTATTATTTTCTTGACACAGGAAAAGTGAAAGGCTAATTGGGGAAAATGAATCCTTGCCTCCAAGCTTCAGGATATCCTGCTCACTCATTCAAGAAGCAATTTTTGGCCCGCAATATCACCATTTTACAATTTCTTGCAATTCTTCCATATTTCACACAACAAAAAGTGCTTGTTTTTTTCATTATGCTAAAACTTTTCTAACTTGCATTTGTTGACTGCATTCCTGTGTGGAACCACTTGGAAGCGTGTTTGATTTGTAAATTTCAGACTACGCCTTGTCAAGACTAAAAGGTTTTGAATCATTTTTTTCAAATAAAGAAAACAGCAATCAGCCAGACTACAGCAGGGGTGCTTGACGCCCTAGTGTAAGGTTGGTATACTTGACAAAAAGCGAGGATTTCAAAGCAATCAATTGCAAATGAGAGTTTTGACGTCTCTTGTGTGAGACTGCCAAAAAGCAACTGATTCCAAAATAAAAAAAAATTGCAGATGGTTAAGAATACTTTTGTCAGTGAAATGTTGTCCTTGAGGACTAGGAAATCCCAAGGATTTGGGAAAACCTTGTGGGAACTTGGGGTCAAACTTGGTCCCCTGGAATTTCTGAAGGATTTGGTTTGTTTCAAGAGCTTAAACAATGCATCTTCTTTCTAATTTGTATTTCTGAATCCTATTTTCAAGAATGCTGCTGGAATTCTATTTTTCAGATTTTTGTCTATTGACTATATTCTTAATAAATATCTAAATTATGTGCTGACTGAACTTCAGAAAATGAATCAAACAACTTTCAGATTTAACAACGACAAAAAACAATATGACGTGTTATTGAAGTTACAGTTTCTGAAGTGTTATGTTGGAAACCCGCTGTTCATGACTTCCAGGTAAAGCTTATCTTCCCGAGTGTGAGAACTTGTTCACTGGAAAAGTTCACTGACCAATTCCTGTTTTTCATTCATGTATGAGATTTATTTTTCTCTCTTTGAAAACTTCCAATTTGTTCCCGATATAGTTTTTTTCTCTCTCTCTCTCGTGAAATGGCTTCCTCAAATCATTCTACCGCCTATTGTAGCGTGAATTTTAAAATTTCGTTACGCACACTGAAAAATTGCTGGACTGAAAATTTTGGTTTTATGCGTTCTTGAATTTAATCTTCAGTATTTTGCATCAATGTGGGATTCACGTACTGCGAGACTCGCAGTTTGAGGATTATATTTTGAAATCAATGTTATGTAATACACTAGGCTAGAATCTCGTTACAACGTTTCTCATTATTACGAATTTATGACTGCTGTGAATTTTTTTTCGGTTTTATCCTTCAGCTGTAATGTTACTTATTTTATTTTTAATGGATTTTCGATTTAGGTAAAATCTCGCTATAACGAAACCGTTGGTAACTACAATATAAAATAGCTTCATTGTGCGAAAAATTTGTCATGGAAGAGCTGTTATAACATTATGGGTTTTCGACAGGGGCATAAAAACCGACTTCGTTGTAATGGAATATTCGTTATAACGAGATTCTACTGTATAACGAAGCTTTATAAGGCTCGAACGAGATTCTACTCTACCATATTTCAGACGCCGAAATTCTTTTTACGGTATTCATAAAGCACGGATTTTATTTTATTTTTCGAAACCCCGTTTGTGTTGGAGTCTCGAATTTGCATAATTAATTTTTGGAAAGAGCGGATATGTTGATTGTTCGATTGAGTGATTCGGATGCATGGAGTCAACGGGTTCCTTTTTGTTTCTCTTGCTCGAGTAATTATGCTGCCCTTGCTGATGGGTGCAGTTGGGTCTTGTTCGTTTGGGAAACCTTGAGTATCCAGTGTTGACTCGAGCGCCCCCCTTTTCAACCGCTCAGTTCCTACGAACGTCGAAGGCTGAGCACTAACTAACTCAAAAACACCGGGCACCCGCACCCCAAGCCCCCAACATCTTCTTATTTTTTTTCCATATATATATATAATTGACCTTAGATTTGTGATTGACGCGGGCGTGTGTGTATATAGCACATAGTGTATCGAGAATATCCCACCTACGTTCTTAGCCCTGTGTAGAGAGATGTGTGTCCAGTAAAATGTATCCTTGGCATCTGCTTTGACGAGCTTGGCTCCACACGCAATCAAATCTGAGAGATTTCCCAGAAAGAAGAAATTTACAATTGAACCTCTTCAGGTGGAATTTCAAGGTATCAGGAAAAAAAAGTGAGGGAAACGAGCGTTTTTACTAGGAGGATAAAAGAACAAATACAGGAAATGGTTATACTGTATGTGATATTCTGGGCATTAAATGGCTTCTTTAGTGAGTTAACAGGATGTTTACCTTGGAGGCAAGGGTTCACCTTTGACCTAATAGTGCCGTATTTCACTTCCTTTTAATAGTTTTAAAACACATCAAGTTTCATTTTTTGTATTTCTTTTATCTTTCTTGTGCCAATAAAATAATAGGTGAAAGGCCCCCTGAGAAGTTGAGGTGAGGAGATTTGATGAGGGGGGGGGGGGGAGCGGGGGGAAAAGTTGGCGAGTCAAGGATGCTTGCAGCTTCCGACTCGTGATTGATTGAGTTTTTGTGGCCCGTGGGCGTGGGGTTCGGGGGTTGTAGAAGAATAAAAAAAAGGTATATATATATATTGACCTTAGATTTGTGATTGACGCGGGCGTGTGTGTATATAGCACATAGTGTATCGAGAATATCCCACCTACGTTTTAGCCCTGTGTAAAGAGATGTGGGTACAGTAAAATATATCCTTGGCATCTGCTTTGACGAGCTTGGCTCTACACGCAATCAAATCTGAGAGATTTCCCAGAAAGAAGAAATTTACAATTGAACCTCTTCAGGTGGAATTTCAAGGTATCAGGAAAAAAAGTGAGGGAAACGAGCGTTTTTATTGTGAGAATAAAAGAACAAATACAGGAAATTTATATGTGATATTCTGGGCATTAAATGGCTTTTTGATGAGTTAACAGGATGTTTACCTTGGAGGCAAGGGTTCACCTTTGACCTAATAGTGCCGTATTTCACTTCCTTTTAAAACACATCAAGTTTCATTTTTTGTATTTCTTTTATCTTTCTTGTGCCAATAAAATAATAGGTGAAAGGCCCCCTGAGAAGTTGAGGTGAGGAGATTTGATGAGGGGGGGGGGGGGGGTTACTTCCTTTTAAAACACATCAAGTTTCATTTTTTGTATTTCTTTTATCTTTCTTGTGCCAATAAAATAATAGGTGAAAGGCCCCCTGAGAAGTTGAGGTGAGGAGATTTGATGAGGGGGGGGGGGGGTTTGCATTAGGGTTGCCTTTGATGCATTTTTTCTAAGGCAATTCAAAGGTTATTTGAATATGGCTCTAATAGCAAATTTTTAACGTGGCAGCTGCAAGTAAACTCACTGCACTGCTAATTTCCAATCCCAAACTGGCAATCATTGCTCTCATCAGCAGATGCTTCTAGCATCCTGGAGATTTTAATGGCCATATGGCTTACCCCTTTGGAATAGTCAGATTTCTCATGAGATGTTCAAATCTCCACCATTTTATTGATTTCAGTTTGGTCTTGAGTTTGTTCCATTAATGAACAAGTACAGTCTACCCTCAATTTATTGCTGCCAATTTCACTGGAACAAATTGGTACAAAGTTGGGACTAATTCAGGATGAACAAATCCTGTTCCTTTGGCAAATTTATCTTGGCATTTTTAATGTTCTCAAACCACATTTTGTAAATGCATATAATTAATTTAGGACAAAAGAGAATCTACAATTCTGGAAAGTACATTATACATTTTTGCCAGGAACTAAATTTAAAAAAAATAGAAATAAAAATTATTAATAAAAAAGCTGTGTGAGTTTTTCCACTGTCTGAGTTGTTGCTGTGCAAGGTGTTGTGTAATCAATTCCACTATATAAGAATACAATTCCGTCCAAGCTCTCTAGGTTAATTTGCCAATGTTTGCAGGGTAGACTCTACATATAGACTGATACAGTACCATAATTCTTCTGAGCAGGGGATTGACAGTTCTTATATACAAATCTGCATCAATATACAGGAAACAATATTGTGCAAGTTGGAACAGGCTTTGTGCTGGGTCACACCTGATAAGGGAACAATTATGCACAAATCCCAGAATAGGGGAAGTTACAATTATCCTGTCCAGGAGTTAACAGGAAAGGGGAAAATGATAACTCTGCAATTCTGGACTGGGTTTGAACCAGGAAGAGTCAATGGCAAGATAAATGGGAACTGGGTCAATTGCTCTATTGCAGAGGAATGAAAGGAAAAGGATAATTGGATTTGAATTACTCTGCATTCAATTAATCATCAATTTTTCCTGCCACTCAATTGGGAATTAGCTCTTGTCTTTGCAGACAGTTTCATTTTGAATAACCTTTTCCACTTCTACAGAAACTAAAAAATGAATGATGTTGGAAAACAGTTGATGCAGTCATTGATTTGAAAGAGTGCACAAAGTGTCCTCTCTCATGAGTGAGGCTAAAAAAATGGTCTTCCCTTTCTAGGATAACACACTTCAAAGTAATTATTGCCCATTTCCGGCAAAATTTGTTGAAAAAATTAATCTCAATAAAATGAATTTTCTCCTATAGAAAAATTTTCATCAAGTCCCCAGAAGTTTGTTGTGACAAGATTTTACTGCTCTATGAAGCCCACTTTTGAGTTTTCCTCTGATACTATACCTTCAGTTTAGTGCCATAAAATGTGCCGGGACAAATATTGGCACTAAATTGGGTTTTGACTGTACTGAGGCTGTATGCAAAATTTCTTTTCAACTTTGGGGGGTTGGCTGAATGAACTTTTTTTGAAATTACTGTACTTCTTTCAGCTGCTGCGTTTGAACGTAATATGCCTCATGTGTAAAGATTAGTACTGTACTGTACTCACTTTGGTTCTGGAAGCACAATTAGTGGGGAATTAAAGCCAAGGAAAGACATTAACCTGTGAATTTTCGACTTTATTGCTGGAAGAATTCTTTGTCGATCATGATTATAAAATTCGTGCAGCTGGGGGCTCAGAGTGCCTAAGGCTATGAATTCTGGGACCGGTAATTACTTGCCATGCTCGCATGTGTCTTAACGAGTGACTAATAACAAGTCCCGCAAATGCCATCCAAGAGATTATTTTTGTGGTTGGGCGTTGAAAAATACTGTACAGTTAGTTGGTGAAAAGTTTTAGTGTTCAACTTACAGAATTCCCACTTTCAGATGTTTGGACTCGTTTCAAGTGCTCCAATTAAAAACATAATTTATGTTCCTTCGAGCGATATTTTTTTCGGAAATTTTTTCTGTTTCTAGAATGAAGCGGAAACATTTTTGTCGTGAGTATAGTATCAAAAAGCTTTTTTGAACGGATTTTAATCATCAATGTTTGGAAGTCATTTTTGGAAATATTGGGTTAGCCTGAGATTTTTACCGAAAACTGAAGTGTGTGCTGCATGAATTTTGATACCCTGATTAATTCAAAAGAAATCTTATCACATCCCTGTGAAAAAAATGCAGAAAGGCCCAAATGAATCGTATTCGTATTTAAATACTCCGCGAAAGATAACTGAATTGCGGCATCATCTTCAGATTAACCATTTACATAATCTCCGATATTTTTATATCCGTTGTACTGCTCATATATTCACACAAATCCTGGACACCATGGATTAATAAATGCAAATGCGTTTCTGTGCCTGAGAAAATTTACTGTGGAATTCCTTTGCAATTTAGGATTCGAATTTTCCGCTCTATCGTGGATGAAGAACGCATGCAATGTACAGTAAAATCTCGTTACAACGAACTCCAATAGACCTGATGAAACATTCCCTATGACAAAAAATTCGTTATAATGACGTTCTTGCTTCTTTGCGCATGTAGGACTGAAATTGTATGGGAAACAATGAAAACATGCTTGAAAGTACTGTACTTCCACAGCATGTATGTGAAGAATTTCCTAAATTTTTCACTTTTCTCACTAAATGATTGAGAAAATTGTATAAGTGAAGTACATAGAATTCTCTCATTTCAGACCATTCCATATCTTGAATTTCCTAAAAATTGATGCTCTTATCACTGAATTAGAAGATGCTAAAAATGAAAATATCTGTGTAAGAAGAGCATATTGTATATTCATTACCAAGTGCACAATTACTGTACTTCTTGAAATAGACCAGTATCCCTTCAAACGTACTTTTTTTCCAAAGAAATGTCGATTTATGAATTTTAAAATAAAGCCAGATAATTTCTGATTTGAGCTTCATGCTTCCTGCAATGATGAATTTGCTTCACCAAAATATTGATTTATATTTTTGTGATATTTCAAGTTTTCAGTTATGCGCAATAAGTTTGGTTTTCCCACAATGTACCAATTATTAAAAATTGCTCTGACCCCTGCACGCATAATCAACAAAAAATTGTCTTGTTCTGAGCTTTTAGAGGAAATTAGTTTGTTATAACAAAACATTATAACATTATCCATTTTGGTAAACTTGCTGGAACCAAGGAAAAAACCATTGTGATGTGGTTCATTGTAATGAAATGTTACTATAATTTAAAATTAGACATTCCCAGTTAAGATACAGTGCTGAATTTTATTCCTCAGAAACAAGTGTGTCTGTAGGAAATTAAAGAATCCAATCAATTAATTAGGTGCTATGTAGTTTTTGCTCAAAGGATCTGAAAACTTGTGGATCAAAGTAGGATATTTGTGGCAAGGATAAAATCATTTGTGCATTAAGAACAAGGCTTTTGAAGTCACTGTTTGAATCAAAAGCTTGTGCATGAGTGAGATAAGAATCTGGCTTGGACGGTTTTCAGATTCTTATCACTGAAGAAAAATTTTGGATCAGAAAAGTGTGAATATCCCATGATCCATCAATCAGATCACTTTTTATATGATCAGAGAAAAGTTGGGGAACATCCTTACTTTAATTTGAAGGTCCAGAATTTTCAGTGTTATGCACAGCATTTTTTTGTCATTTTATTTATTTTTTTTGGAAGCAAGTTTTTATTCAACAATGCAAGATTGTATTTGCTGATTGTATGTGTGGCTGTGTCTTTTGGTACCTGTGATAAGAGACAATTTTAACTTTTTAAGTCCTCTTTTTTAATATCCAAGGAGTGAGGATGCTTCCTTTGAAGCTTCCTCTATTTTAATTTTTTGCAGCCATGTATGTATATTTGCACTCAGAATGAAAATCCCTTTGATGCTGGGTAACGGCCTTGGCACTCAGATGTCTCTTGCATCTAAAATGTGTTTTGTGTGCTGCTAAAAATCTGTAATAAATATTTCTCCTGTGCTATTTATTTTTTGAGTGAACATGATAGATGAAAATTAGCTGTCTGTTGCACATTAGTCTTCTTCTTCAAGATAATCAGGATGATCTTGTCATTCTTTTTTTTTTTCTTGCTGGATGAAACTGTGAAATTTGGCTCATCTATTTTCCCCCTGCTGGACTACTTGTGTCTTTTTTTTTGTGACGTCCTGTCCGCGATGAGAGAGAGAGGCCTGTTTGCATCATGTGGTTGACAAGACACGCTCATCATCACCGACCCCGTGATCGAGTTAAAAAAAAAAACATTTAGTATACTTCTCTTAAACGAATAAGCCTGTGTAAAAGTAATGTAACACATTTCATCTCCCCCATACTCCTAATTGTGCCACATGCTTTTGAAATGTTCACACGCCTGCATCGTATCGTGACCATCAAACGTGTATGGCCGAGAAAATATTGAAAAAATGGCCGCAAGAATGAATATTTGGCAAGAAAATCCGATTTGAAAGTTTTCGCCTGTTTGAAATTTATTTTAGATTTTCTATAAACGATGTACCGTGATATGTTTACTCGATTATCACGTAAAATCCGATTTTCCGTGAAGCGAAAAAAAAAATTCACTCAGTTTCAGGAAACGAATGGAAAGTGTGGAATGAATCGTGCTGAATTGTTACTCTTTTCGGAATTTCGTCTGCCAGATCGAGCCTGAAATTACTGTAAATTTTTATTATTGCTATTACTCGGAATAATATATCGTTAGACTTATCGGAATGCGTGTCTGAAGTACGAATCACGTCGCACTTTTTGAGCGTGATATTTTAGAGAGAGAAAAAGTGTTCTTTGGTGAGATACCCATGATACTGTATAGGCCTAGGGATTCTCTCTAGAACGATTTTTCTTTATTTCTCCTGGTTCCCTTGAGTTTTCGTTGTACAGAGTTTTTACAACATTGTATTGATTGTTCCTCTTCAGGAGCTGTTCATCAAGCTGCAGCCGCATCAGTGTCTGGGCGCCATTTGGGGCAAGAGCAAGGAGCGGACGGAAGTGGCGGGTTCCGTCCGGGCCACGGTGGACCAGTTCAACGCCGTCTCCTTCCGCGTGCTCAGCACTGTGCTCATGGACGAGGCCCTGAAGCCGGCCCAGCGGGCCAAGATCATCGCCAAGTGGATCGAGATTGCCCAAGAACTCCGTCTCCTCAAGAACTTCTCCTCGCTCAAGGCCATCATTTCCGGGCTGCAGGCCACGCCCATCTACCGTCTCCGCAAAGTCTGGGCCTCTGTGCCGAAGGAAAAGGTGATTTTCCATCGAGAAAGAAGAAGAAGGAAAAAGTTCGAAATGATTACTACTCCCTCAGTTGAGGAACCAAACAAAAGTTTGTTCACTGAATTTGATTTTCCCATAGACTTCAATGGGGAAGAATTTAATCCTTTCTTTGAACCTAACAAAAAAAAAAAAAAAAAAAAAAAAAAACAATTGAGCATGGAGTATAAAAAAAATGCAAGACCATATGAACTATAATCAGTATAAGTTGTTGCTGTTTTCTGTATATGCCCAGAATGTTTTTACAGTTTTATATTTAAATGGATGAACAGAAAGCTTTATTTTCCGCTTTTCAGCATTCACAAGGTTCAATCAAAATTTCCACATTCAAACACCCTCCCCACCCAACCCAAATCCATTCAAAGCCATTCAATCACTTCAGAGTGAGGAAACAGAGAAAATATATGCAAATGGATAACAAAAATAAAAGAGAATACATTCCACAAAATACAACTGCACAACTGATATGTATGCATACACCGCTTCTTTCCCTGACATTGAAAACAAAATATCAGTAACAAGAATTGCAGCATAAGCCAGAATTGAAGCAATTGCAGCAGTTTATGAACCCAATTTAAAGTACAAGGTCTTCAGCATGTTTCCAGATGAGGTTTAGTTGAATGAACAATTTAGAGAGATCTTTGATGAGAAATCATGTAAGACTGATGGTTTATCTTGATCCTCTATGATTACAGAAAGGGTCTCTTCATTGAATTCCAATACTAATGTTGTCTGGAAGTAACACTAATGAAGAAAACAATAAAAAAAGCTGCTCATCCAGAGAAACACATATTGTAGGATTTCAGGTGAAAATGAAACTTCTTTTTTTAATGCAGCAAATAAAAAATTAAATAGACCATACTAACAATTTAAAAAAGGTTTGTGAACCAAATTTTGGTTTGTTAGCTGATGGAGTTTTCCTTTAAACCAAAGTTTGATAACTGAGAGGTTTGTTAACCAAGGGTCCACTTGTACAGGAGAGTGAACCCTTGTTTAATAAAATTTTGTCCCCAAAGAAAAGAAAATCTCTCAGTTGTCAAAACAAAATTTGGTCCACAAACTTCTGTTCCCAGCTAAAAATTCCAAATATGGTTAGAGCAATAAACTGTAGGGGGTTAGGAAAAGGTTGGCTATCATTTCTTGCCTTGTCCACTGAAAACGTTGTAAACTGATGGCTGATTTCTTTCTCTTTGCTTCTGTAAATGAGGTCAAAGACTTGGGCAAAGATAATTTCTCTCTGCCTTACCTTTGATGTGATCTCTATTTCTGAGCTTTGTGGAATCGTTGATGAAAGGATTCTCCAATTTGCTCCTTTTTTTTAAAGCTGGATATTTCCGCTTTATAATGCCATGTGCAAAATGATTATTTTAGTCATCATTTGAGAAATTTCATTGTAGTTGTTTAAATAGTTATGAAAGATGATTATTTGTGAAATGACGCATGGATGGAACGGGTAATTGGTTGATACCTTGATTGTAGCTTTTCTTCGTCTTTGGTTGCTGAATTGGTTGAGTGGAACGAACTTTGGTACAGTATTTTTTATCCAAGAAAGAAAAGAAATGACAATTTTTTGAAGTGCTCTGGTCTGATTTCGTTGAAACGTTTTCTTGTCTTGATAAATGGAAAACCGCAGATTGCGTTCTGGAAATGAGACGTATACACATTTTATGCGTAATGTGCGATACGTGTTCGTGGTCGAAGTTGCCCTTTTTTTCGAGCATTTTTGCACTGATTACGGTTCTGAATTTTCCTCGTAGCCTTAATCTAATTTTTTGGAAAAATTTCTCTTGAACTCTTTGCTACTCGAAATACAGCAATGAAACAAAATAATGATAATGTAAGTGGATTCATGTGATAGTGGTTCCTAGAAAAATAGGACACGCAACTTTCTGAAAACGCGTATTGATTAAAGTTTGTGGTCGAAGAAGCATTTTTTTTTCAAGGATTTGGCACTGATTGCGGTTCTTCATTTTTCGTTTTCCACTGGTGGCCTTGATTTAAGATTTTTTTAATTCCCCTTAATACTCGGGAGTACAGTGGAAAAAATTTTGGAATTCAATGTTCGTGGATTTAATTTGAAATTATTCGGTACTGATCGCAGTTCTTCATTTTTCGTTTTACTCGTAGCCTAAATAAAAAAAAAATTTCAATTTTCTCGTGAAATTGTATGCTTGAGAGATGAGCAGTGTCCACAATTTCAATGTCAGCGGATTTAATGTGGAAGTCATTGGTGATGATTGTGGTTCTTCATTTTTCGTCTTACTCGTAGCCTTAGTCAAAATTGTTTTCAATTTTCTCGTAAAATTTTTTATTCTTGAGTACAGCTAGTGTCCAAAATTTTAATGTCAGCGGATTTGATGTGAATTTAATTGGTACTGATTGCGGTTCTTCATTTTTCGTCTTACTCGTAGTAGCCTCAGTCAAAATAATTTTATTTTATTCGCCTAAACTTTTTTATGCTGGAGCACAGTGACAAAAAAAAAAATTTGAATGCCAGCGAATTCGTGTGATAGCGGGTCCCTAGAAAAAAAAAATTTGCGCGCAAACTTTTCTCGGAAACCCGTATTTACCTTGTGTCGCTTCCTTTTTCCGACTTGATCGAATGAATCTCTTTTTTTTTTTTTCGCTGCTAAATCCCCGTTATTTATTTTTTTTTTCGATCAACAGGTGGAATCGTTTGAGGAACTCGCGAGATTATTCAGCGAGGATAACAATCAACACGCGCAGCGTGAAGTTCTCATGCGTGAAGGCACTGCCAAAGTTGCAGAAGTTACTTCTCACGCTGATCGTTTCCTGCCTAGACTACTTCAACGGCACAATCCTGCTTCCTGTGTGAGTTGGCGTGCCAAAATTTTTGACACGCGAAGTTCAGAAAAAGTGTTGTATTTGTGTGTTTCGTTTTGTTTTTCTCGTTCGACGATATGCGTCTTATTTAGTATCGTTTTCTGTCTCGTGGATGTTTGTAGAGGCTTGAGTGAGAATTTGACCAGGTTGTGGTTTTTTTTCTAAGGTCAGGTCACGTCAAGTTGTTGAGGTTGAAGTTCAAACCGAGGGTTAATTCGAGTTGGTGGGATTACTTTTTGGGCTTATGGGTGTGTAAAAGAAGCATCAGTGAATTGAAAATAATCCATGAAATGGGCCATTTTGCAAAAACAGTGGACCCTAAGTTAACCAACTTATTGGGTCTTAGTCAAAAGTTGGTTGACTTAATTTGATTTCCCAAAAGGATTCAAGTGAACACCAATTAATCTCTTCCTGGCACCCAAAATACAATTGAAAATTTAATTGAAAAAATAATTTAGGACAAATATCTAATCAAAATGAGTTACTGTGTGTGGCATCCTGTGTGTGTTTGCAATGTTTAGTGTGGCTGGGTGGAAGTATGACTGATGGAAACAAAATTTAAAGACCTTCTTGTCAAGAAAAACATTCACATATGAGCAGTATAACTGTCACCAGAGAATGAAATGTTAATTTTACAATGCTGTATCTAAAGGAACAAATTCAGCAGTTCAACAGTGGAAACATCCACAAAAATCTGTTTGAAAGTGCCTTTGTTTACAATTTCTCACGGCTGGATATCATTTGTTTAATTGATTCTGCTCAAACCATAAGATATACATGATCATTTACTCTTAATGTTGAACAAACTTTTTTAAATGTTGTGTAAGTCTTTGGTCTGTATAATAATTTTTCTGCTGACTTTTTCAATTAGAACTGCAATTAGATTGTATCTTACATCAGTTCAGTGTCATAACTGAACTCTGAATTTTTTGCATGGGAAGAGAAGTTTGTTGACCAAATTTTGGCTTATTACTTGAGTTTTTTCTATATGGACAGAAGTTTGTCAACTGAGAGGTTTTTCTTTGAGGTCAAAAGTTTGTTAATAAAGGGTCCAGTGAAAATTATATAAAATAAGTATAACATACATTTAATTTTTATGTATTTTTCTATTTTTGTATTTATTTTCATGCATTACATTTTTTTCTCGTTTTGCTGTTATTAGTCTGTGAATTACGGAACGATTCCGTACCTCGGAACATTCCTGACCGATCTGACCATGATCAACACTGCGATCCCGGATAAGCTTTACGATAACCTCATAAATTTCGACAAGAAACGGAAGGAGTTTGAGATTCTTGCTCAGGTGAGATCCGAAGTGAATCCTATTTGTATATATCAGTGTGCGAACAAACTGTTTTGAAATTTGTTCCAGTTGAAATTGCTACAAGGAGCAGCTGCGTCGTACAATATCAAGTTTGACCCGAGGTTCCAGAAGTGGTTTGAGAGCTGTCCAGTGTTGGAAGAAAAGGACTGCTTCCACATCAGTTGTCAAATTGAGCCTCAGGGCCCCCTGACGCCGTCCAGAGGAAGTTCGGGCACTGTGGCGTCCACGGGGTCCAGCGGGGGCGGCAGTGGGAAACGAAAGCCGTAAGCGTTGTTTGTTTCTTTGCTTGATTGGAAGCATAAAGGTGTGAACAATTCAATTGTATCTCGTGAAGAAGGAGTCAGTTGATTTTCTTTTTCTCAGCAGTTCAAGTCCATTTTTTTTATGCTCTTGATCTCAAGTGAAATGCTGTGAACGACTCATAAACACCTGGAATTACAGGATGTATAGTATGAATCTGAGGAGCCCTTGATAGTGTTGATGTTATAGTGAGACCCCCAGATGCGGACGTAATTGGTGCATCAAGAGTGTCCCTAAGTTGAGTCTTGTTTTCCCATAGACTTACATCATATAAATTCCAATTGGTGTTTTATGGAGGAAATATTCTTCAGAATTCCATGAAAAAAGAAGCATTGTTTGCCACGTGAATTTGATTCAGTGAAGTATCTTTTCAACTCAACAAGAACATTTGGAGCATTGAATAGTGTACCTCTGTATATTGCATAGAAATGTTGGCATCTGTAAAAATAACATTCAAGTCACAAAGGGAGGAGGAAGTCCCTCTATGCTATAGGTAATTTTTTTTAATCAGCTGAATCAGTGGGAAAATTATGGGAGAAATAACAAAGAGTTTTTCTGGCTTGGATCTTAGGGTTGGAGATGTCTGTTTCCTGCAATTGAGTCTAATATTAGTCAATTTTTCTGAAATGTATTGGCAATTTATCATAAAATCTCCTCATGTTGATTCAGTGTCCCAATGTAGGGCCTTTTTTATGCCTTTTTGCTTGAAAAATAAATGTCCCTATGTTGTTGAGGTGTTTGCATGTGGGGGTCTCACTGTACTAATTTTTGTACATATTTTCACGTGCTGGCAATTTTTATTTACATATTTTTCAAACTCAGAATTAAATTGAACTCGGGATGACTGCGTGAACATTTTTAATTCCACTTGAGCGTTAATGACATTCCCAATTTTTTCAAAAGAATGGTGTGATTTCAACAAACAAAGAAGTCGACTGCGAATTGATCAAGATTCTGTGCTGAAAATTGTTTGGACCCTTTTTGTATTACAAATCGAACCTCTTTAATTCGAACTTCAAGGGACCAGCTGAAAAAGTCGAGTTGGAGAGGTTTGAAGTTTGAAAAACAAGCATTTTTGTTGGGGTGAAAAACGAAGGAATTACAGGAAATTTTAAATGGTAATATTCTGGGCCTTAAATTGCTTCATAAATTAATTGACAGTATGTTGAACTGGGAGGCAAGGGTTCATTTTTCCAAATTGTCTTTGATTTTTTTTTTCAAAAATGCATTGCGTTAAATTTCGTATTGATTTTCTCTGGTATGTGTCAATCAAATATTAACCAGAAGGCGTTCCGAGAATTCGAGTTATGAAGGTTTCAAGAAGGAAAGCTTTTCAGGAAGGGATTTTTTCAAAGCCTTGTTTCTAAGAGACTTCGGATAGGGACTTGAAAAAATTTTACATGAGGAGGGTGCGAGTAGTTGAGGTTCAACTGTACTATTGAATTCATGGGCCATGAAATATTCTGCATATGGTCCAATTTTTATTTTATTTTTGTAGAATTATCCGAAAAGGTCCGAAGAACGTATTTCCGTTGATGTCGCAGGAATTCTCGTCTTGAGCCCTGATCAAGTTTTCTGATTATGTCATGTAGTCGACCTACATTTCCATTTTTCGAATAATAGAAGAATGACTGCTTTTCAGAATCGAGTAAATCTTGTCTCGAAGTGAAAGGATCTCATGTTCTGTTCGTCCAGTTCAAAATCGAAAGAATGATCGAAGAAAATCCTTTGGAGTGCTTTTATTATCTGTCCTATTTTTCTGGAAATATTGTGAGGGAAAAAAATCACATAGAAAAAAAAATAAAACTTTGCTTGCGGAAATAAAGACACTCATTCTTCTAGTCGGAGATCATTGTTCAACTTCTGTGAGAAATGACTTTGAAGACGTTTTCGACATGATCGAGTTTTATAGTTCATCTGAGATTTATTTTGTGACATTTGTCTTCCCACGTCACCATACAGTATATTATTCGCTTCATTTCAGCTTGTATCGTTTCCTGAAAAATGACCTGCCTTGGGAAAAAGATATGCGAGGGTTGTCCCACTTTGGTGCGACCTTGATTATTTCTAGATTTAGTTATGAATTTAAAAAAATATATTCATATGGCCGATAATGTTTCAAGGTTCTGGGAAATTTTTTCGGATTTTTAAACAAAATTTGATTAATGAAAATTGAAATTGCCCATGATTTTGAAAGGCTCTGGGATTTTTTAATAGTTTACTATAAAAATATTGAAATAGCCCATGATGCTTAAAGGTTCTGGGATTTTTTTCGGATTTGAAAAGAAAAACTTGCTGATGTAATTTTTCATACAATATCTTTGAAAAAAATCGCATGAATCATTTCAGCTTTCATATTGACATGCTTTGGCGGGAAAGGTAAAAGGGTTGTCCCACTTCGGCGCGACCTTGGGTATTTCTAAAGTAGGCTTGACTAAAGAATTATTGAAGTAGCCCATGATGATGTTTCAAGGTTGTAGGATTTTTTTCGGATTTAAAGTTTTAAAAATTCTGATGTGATTGTTTCACACAGTATTTGCAAAAAAATATCACATGAATTATTTACGTTTTCATAATGACATGCCTTGGCAGAAAATGTAGGAGGGTTGTCCCGCTTTGGCGCGGCCTGGGGTATTTCTGTAGTAGGTATGACTGTGAAAGGAAAAGCTTGCTATAGCCCATGATGTTTTCAGGTTCTGGGATTTTTAGACTTTTTTTCCATCCACTGCATGATGGATTAGTGTAAACTTCCTAATTTTAGCACAGGGTGCTAAAAGATTCAGATCAGCTGAAAAAAAGTGTTATGATTGGTGTTGTTTTAAACTTCATCTTTCTTAAATTTTTGGTCATCGTTAAAAAAAAAAAACAACAAAGAAATTTAAAGTTTCAACTGCCCCGACAAATTTGTATAACCTTTCGACTCGAAAGTTTTCACATATCATCATGCTGTAATTTGAAAGATTTGATTAAAAATTCGAGGAAAAAATCGCAATCTTCAAAAATCATGGGCTGTTTTCATTTTTTTTTCGTCATACCTGCTGTAGAAATAACCGAAGTCGCGAACCCAATTGGGACAACCCTGGTAAAAAAAAACCTGATTATTACTAATTTAAGAATTTGTTGAAGTCGTCGTCGCTTTTGCATTCGGTCTCACCCGACAAATTATCGTGCAAAATTCGACAATCCTGTATAGTACTGTATAGTGATTTTGTTTTCACACGTGCTTTTTTATTTTTTATTTTTCAAAGGAATTACGGGATCCGTGTGACCCGTACTTGAAAACATGTCGGGGGTGGGATTGTCTTTGGATCGATCATTTCGACGGTCTTTCGGATCGCCGTTTTTCGTGGAGTAACACGACACTCGAATTTCGGGGTTAAACCTGCTTCGTCATTTTCCAAGCATTTCCACGTATTTTTATTTATTTTTTTTTTTTAAGGAAGAGCAGAAACGAGAAAATGGTCCAGGACTTGTTTGGCTTCACTTGTTCGCGCCGAACTTTGCATTCGACCTCTTTTCTCGGTCGGTCGTATACGTCTAGTGAATGTCCATTATTGCTCGCGTGTGACGAGACGGAAAACGCCGTGACAAATATTTTAAAAATGGACGCGGGTTTAAATCCTGGTTGAGTGATATTCATGCGAGGGTTTCTTGAGAGGTAATCCTCTTTTCGGATTCTTTTTCGAACAGGGCGCATCATCAGAAGACGGACTCGATAACGAGCACGTCCTCGTCCGGAGGCTCGCATCCGGAACCGGCGATGGACAGCTTGCCGTCTAGTGCCCAGGACTCGTTGGGGTCTCTGGAAAGGAAGGTGCGTTCGTCTGGATATTTTCTAGCCAGTGAGAAGAGAGAACGAGAGAGAGAGAGAAAAAGAATCAGTCTTTGTTTTACGCTGAGTGATTGATTGTGCGTCAATTTTTGACTGGCCTTCAGAGAAAATGGAACGAGATGTTTTTCTTTGTCTCGAGAGTCAGACCGAAATCATGTAAAGAAGTGCCATCTGTGTGTCGAATGCTCTGTTGCCAGCTTCGCGTAATTTTCGGCAGGTGTCACTCGTGACTTTTATGATTTTTTCATAAGTGCCTACGTGGCATATAGGACAAATCGTGACTGACAATTTGAGCCAGGGGCCAAATCAAGACAGAAACTTTTGGAAGCAAGGACAACTTGAGACAGTTAGATTTGGAGACAGAGAGAATTTTGAGGCAAGGACTATTTGAAACAGAAGCATTTCCTTGTTTTCATTCCTCTCTTGATCCATTGTAATACACATGAAAAAAAAAGAGCATCCCTCATCCGTTTTCTATGTACAGTATTGGCAGAGGTAAACTGCACAAAATATTATCTTATGGTCAAGAAAAATTACACCAATTCATATACATAACACCTTGTATAGAAATGCATATATAGCACACAAGTATTAGAATGGAATATTTCTAACCAAGGAAATTTAAATTTTGAGAAGAATTTTCAAAATAATAAAATTTTGAAAAGAATATAAAATTTCCCAAGACTCACAAAAAATCCTGGGAAAACCAGAAAATTAAGTGAAGCAAAGTGTGTGTGCAGAGTTGCTTTAGGACTGTCTCAAATTGTCCCTGTCTCATGTTGTCCCTGTCTCATATTGTCCCTGTCTCTAAATGTCCTTGTCTAAAATTTTTTCTAGTCTCCAAAAGTTTCTGTCTCAAATTGTTCCTTTCTCAAATTTTCTGTTTTGATTTGTACAGCCTCAAATTGTCTGTCTGGATTTGTCAAAAAGTTGATCAATTGACTGCATGATGACGAGTGAAAACTTTCCAGTTGTGGCAAGAGCTCTCCACCTGTGTCACAGTTTGCTAAGATTGTGTTGGGCCAGTTGAAAAATTAAATTTTATTTCATTTCACACATTATCTTTTTTACATTTTGGATATTCATTAAAACTGCAAGAAATCGAAATTATCAGCTGGTTGAAACTGGAAAGTTTTTACTGATCATCAGCACGGAGTAAAGTGAAAAATCTGTTGAAAATCCGAAAAAGAATCCTAGCACCTTAAAACATCAGTAGCCGTGTCATGTTTCTGTTTTTTTTTTTTTTTTTTTTTTTTAATCTCTCCTTTTTTTCTCTTTTGTGNTGGTTGTTTCATGTTTCTTTTTTTTTTTTTTTTTTTTTTTTTACAATCACTCCTACTTTGTAAATGTCCGAGTTCGGGTAAAACTGAGACTGATGCTCTTGTATAATGTGTGTATAGTATGCATAGCTGATGAGTTAGACGCAAATGTCCGCTCAGGTTACTTAGGCGTCCGATTCATTCGTTGGATTAGTTGGATAAAATCGGAATTTTCGCTTCATTTTTATTTTCAATATTGTACCGGGCTAGAGTTCGCATAGTATTTCCTGTTTTCATTTTCTAGTGAAGTGCATTTTGTTACCTAGCTGTGATGAACGCACATTTTTTCCTGAATTTTTTAATTTCCTCACAAATGCCTTTGTATTCAATCAAGAAACTGCACCAGGTTTCGTTCTATTAGTAAAGGGTTGGTTTTACGTAATTATAACCTTTATTTTATGTTCCTGGATGATCGAATAAAAATTGCTCTTGTGTATAGTTAATCGTTAATGTACTGTAATAACGATCCGTAAAATGAAAAAGGGATGTTTCTCCGTATGTAGGGAGATGATCTCTTCCAGTAAACGGTAATACTGTATGTGTGAGATCCTCGAATTTAATTGTTTCCTGTTTCTCCGTCTTGAAAGAAAAGGGAGCTCTGAGAAATCGTGAGCTGTGATTAATTATGATTGTCACGTCTCCAGAAGGGAGACGACGCATCAATTTCGGAAAGCCTTGATGGAATTTAATTTTTAAAAATTTGATAGTGCGTCTTTTCTTTTTTACTTCAACTAAGCGGTTGAACATTTTCCTCGAAAAGTCTCTCCGCGTTTTTCTCACGACAACATGGGCCAGTTGAAATTGATGTATCTTGTTCACGAAGGATTTTGTGTCTTTCGCCTCACGTTCACGACTCATCATTATTAATATACAGAACTAATAGGCGGAATAAAAAAAAAGTGAGATGAAGCAGAAGTCCGAGAACATTTGTTATTAGACCCTCAGTCGTTTATGATTTCGTCGACATAACTCACTCACTCGTTTTTTGATGCGTTTCCCGGATTCAGATGTCGACGTCGTCGACGAGCAGCTCCTCTGGCCCGTCCTCGTCAACGTCCGGCGTCGTGACGACCCCGCCGACGGGCAGCTCGTCGTCCGGCTCGGACGCCGCTCCGTCCTCCTCCAAGGGCCGCAAGGACAACCAGCAGCAGTCACAGGACCGGACGCCGTCGTCGTCGACAGTGACGGCGGGTTCGAGCAAGTCTGCGTCGCCGAGTCCGTATCGAACGCCGGACTTTTACATTATTCGCGTCTCCATTGAGACGGGCTCGTCGGAGATGGAAGGCGTGAATTTGTACAAGAGCATCATGCTGGGCAACAGCGAACGCACCAAGTCCGTCATTGCCAGTGCCATGAGCAAGCACGGCGTGGAGGGGAAGCCCGAGGACTACACCTTGTCGCAAATTCTGCCTCACGGAGGTGGGTTAATTAATAAGAGTGTTTTCGAGAATTGTGTTTCTCTTTTTTTTTAATTTCCTCTATCTTTGTATGCGGGTGTGGACTCTCTCTCTTCCCGAGTGGGGAGCTATTCTTGCTGCTGTGACCCCATGGCAGGTGCACACCAGGGTCACAACTGGTGCATACGAGGGTTCTAACAAAAGTTCTGGGAGTAGCAATGAAAATGGCTCACAGTTGAGCTGAAAAAATGTTTTCTTCAAGGAAAACATATTATTTGGCACACAAAAAACATCAGCCCTGTTTGACAATTTTTTTTTCATAATTCACTTTCATTCATTTTCATTCACTTTAATGACAGCCGCCTTCACAGCCTCCAATGTGGCGGCTGTTGATGAAAATGGCGGAATTGCCTTGGATGACCTGGAGGCAGCCCTTAGAAAGAATGTCAAGTTGAATTCAAAAATTCTGAGGGGAAAGTTGGGCTGCAACAAAAAAAAGGGCGCCTCATCTTTTGAGTGGAGAGCAAAACTCTGCCAGGGTGAATTATGAAAAAATTCAAAAAAATTTGTCAAACAGGGCTGATATTTTTTTGCGTGCCAAGAAATACGTTTTCCCTGAAGAATAAAATTTTTCAGCTCAACTGTTGGCCATTTTCATTGCTACTCTGAGAACTTTTGTTAGAACCCTCCTATATGGGATATTCTGGGTTTACAAGTAGAGACTGGGGAAATTGGTGCACACTGGGGATGTGTCTGTAATTCTACACAGTGACCCTGCTGCTGTGCACCTGAAGTGTACCAAAGTTCTTCTGTTGCACATGCCTATTGTCCCTAATGTGCACCAATTGTGTGTTCACACCAGTATTACTCAGGGTCACATCTGTAAACAAATAAGTTACACCAAGGTTACAGTTGGTGCATTTGTGTTATACTCCTGTTATGTCTAATTTGTGCACCAAATGTAGCCCAGGAATGGCAGCAAAATTGAATTGTCAGAGGTGCATGCTTTTAACCCCAGAATAGTCCATGTACACCAATTGTGACCCCAATGTGCACCATTTGTGGGGTCACACAAAGAATAGCTCCCCACTTAGGCATGGATGAAATTTTGCTATCATTCCAGTGTTACACTTGTTGCACAAGTGTGGCATGACTGGAGGGTCACACAAGTGCACCAACTGTAACCTTCCCAAGTGGGGAGCTATTCTTTGTGACCCCACAACTGGTGCACACTGGGGTCACAATTTGTGTACAATGGCTATTCTGGGGTTACAATCATGCACCTCTGTAGATGAAATTTTGCTACCATTCCAGGGCTACATTTGATGCACAAATGTGACATAACAGGAGTATCACACAAATGCACCAACTGTAACCTTGGTGTAACTTATTTGTTTACAAATGTGACCCTGCATAATCCTGGTGTGAACACACAATTGGTGCACATTAGGGATATGCATGTGCAGAAGAAGAACTTTGGTACACTTCAGGTGCACAGCAGGGTCACTGTGTGGAAATACATGCATATCCCAAGTGTGCACCATTTTCCCCACTTGGGTTGTTGTGACTTCTTTGATTACAAGTGTAACCCTGAGTAAGCTCAGGGTGGCTTCACAAGTGTAACCCAGATGTGCACCAGCTGTGCACTTCTTGTGCTGCATTGTGAGTGTGTTGGAAAGTATTATGTGAGGTGCCAAAATTTTTTGGAAGAAAATTTTAGAGAGAAAAATGACAGTTTTTTTTTGTTGTTCTTCTTCTAATTTTTTGTGGTTTCTGTTGTTTTCCAGAAATGATGTTCCCGCCAAATGCGAATGTTTACTACGCCATCAACACGACGTACGACCTGAACTTCGTGCTGCGACGACGCAAGGGTAGTGATGAAGATAAACTGACGGTGAGGGACAAGCCCCGGAAGAAGCTTTTATCGCTGATGACCTGATAAATCATCATCATCATCTTGGTGATACGAGAAAAAAAGAAACACGGAGCTCTCTTGTTTTCCTTTTCTCCTCTTCTTGTGTAGAGATGTTGTGTCTCTCGCTTTCTCCTCTTTTTCTTCCCGGGAAGAAAGAGAGAGAGCGTCAAGTTCCATGTGGTTTTTTTTTTTCAAGTTTTTTCGCACGTATTTTTTTATCGCCTGGAAAGCTGCAGGTTGGACACGAGAGTTTTCATTTGTTGTACGTGTACATTTTTTTTGGAAATCGACAGAAATAGGATTATGATAATCTCGACGCGTCACCAAAGGTATTTTTGTTTTGAAGGGGGGGTGGGACCAGTTGATCATGACCATCCATGATGAAGTCCAGTGTGACTGAGGAATTGAGAACGAAAAGATGAAGGAATGCTTAGCTGAAAAAGAGAGGGAAAATTGTGATCTGAAAAAAAAAACCAGAGTTGGGTTTGACGCAGTTTTTTTTTTTTTTTGGGTGCGAGTCACGGAAAAAATTGGAGTGCATTTGAAATTAGGTTTTTTTCCGTCCGTTCGGCTGAAGCTTTTATTTTTAATTTTTTGTTTATCCTCATACCCCGTATCGATTGGCAACTTTCTCCGTCATTTTGGGCTTGTGATGTGTGTGATGATGGATCGCGACTGGGACCAAATGAGCAGAATCGCATCGTTGTCAGTTTCTGTGCCCCCCGGGAGGAGAAAAAAAAAGAAGAATGTTGTACTGTTTGACTGGAAATTAAGCCAGAATTGATTGACGCAAGTTGAAGCTGTGATTATTTCATTATTCTCTTCTGAGAGAACACTCCAATGACTAATTTTATGGAAATGCTCTTCTGTAATGTTCTTCAACCTTTTTTGGGCACCTGACTGGCAAATTTCAATAAAATATTTTGCAGACCAGCAAATTCCCATAAATTGTCTGCCAAACTGGCCAAGTTTCATGACATTTTTGCAGACTCAAAAAATCTCTCTTTGCAAGATTTCATGTCAGTTATTTAGAAAGTTTCTGCTTTTGGCAAAAATTAAGGTAAGAACCCATCAAGCAGTTATACTGGGATGTCTTCAAAAATTTGAAAGGCAGGCTTTGGGAAAGGTTTATCAGAGTGCACAATTGAAAGAATGTGTTTCAGCATATGAATATTTATCTAAATCATGATTAGGAGAAAAGCCAACTTATTTTTTTATCTCACAATTTCAACTTCAATTGCATTTGAGATGAAGATAGCAGACTTCATTGCTACTTATGATGAATTTATTATGCTGAAGGAAGTTTTCTTGTGGACTGGTAAACAACTTCTGGTACTGTTGCTGGTCTATGGACAATGGGTTGGGGAAAGCTGCTCTTATGTATTCATTCAAGTACCATGTGCACCTTTTTCCTGGAAAATTAAGGCAGAAAATTGGATTTGTCTCAAGTATGTGAGCATACCTTTTCAATAGAGAAGGAATCATGGTATTGGCAGAAATGAAGTGTCAGGTAAAAAATGGATGGAAAATTCTGATAGACAACAAAAATCTGGTTTCATTCTTCATGTTCTTTCAATCTATATGCAAATTTGTTCTGTAAAAAATAGTATTCAATGAAGAAATTCTGATTTTCAATAAAAATTGGTTCAGGTTTAGGTTTCTGATTAAATTTTGTGCCAAACAATCAAGGTGCAAATTGTACTCCACGTTGCATTGCTCTGGAGTAAATAAAGGGGTACAATATACTGTACATGTATTTCTTTTTAATTTTTAGAATCTGCCAGTGTATGACACAGTCAAATAATTGCGGAAATTGAAAACAAGTACAAGTGTAGCCTGTATGAAAAACCATAAAACTTTTCTTAAAAAGTTATTGTTCGCTCAAATCTGATTTGATTATACTGTATTCCATTTGAAAATGAAGCCATTTTATTGACGCATTATTCTTTCATCAACACAAAATTTCACAATTTTATGTTCTGCAATTTTTTAATCAATAATGTACTGTACTTCAATTTTAAGACTTGTAGTTAGAGAACGTACTGAGGTACACATTGTGCACAGTGATATGCACATAAGTCTAGCTATGAAAGCAAGGGTGATGACAGTTGTTCAGACTTCAGATCATTTAATTTTATGGCTGCAACCTTTTATCTTACTGTTCTGTACATTAAATAGGTGTAAATGTTTTGAGACAACTTCTTTGTAATATGAAAGAAAGCAAAATTATCAGAATGTCAGACATGAATCTGAGAAGTGATGTATTTCTTACATCTGTGTGCTTCCCTTTTCAATGAGTATTTTTGTTTTAACCCAAAATTACATAAGAAATGAAATATATCAATAATGCTTGAGCGTTTTAACCCAAAATTACATAAGAAATGAAATATATCAATAATGCTTGAAGAAACATTAATCAATTTAAGTCAGTAAATAAAGAAAACGTATCCTCAAGAACAAATAAAAATATCCCAGCTTCCTGAACAAAAATCATTTTACAATACCTGCCTCATTTTCATAGAAAATTATTCACAACCAATGAACAATTTCCCAGCAGAATAATAATAATAATCGCGACAACAATCAGTAACAAAATTCAAAAATGGAATAATGCTCTCCTGGTCCTTCATTTGCGGTCCACGTAAAAGTATCTTGTAGGTTTGTAAGTACCATCTGTAAGCGACCTCATGAGGCCTGGAACTTTGGGCAGGAATTTCTGCCTACGCTTGAAAGGTGCCTTGTGGTTCAGGTAGAGAGGAACTTCCTTGAACAGGTAGTCCTTGGGACCGTCGGGGACTGGATCAGCAGTGACATCTGTCCATTGGAGCGCAAACACGATGAGCAACATTGCGCACAAGGCAGCGAACGCGTCGCTGGAAAATCTTGGGTAATTCATCTGCAACACACACACAAAAAAGTTTGGAAATCACGTCAGTTCCGGAAATGTATTTTCATTCAAGCCATTCATTCTTGAACTAATTTTAAAGACGTTGTTTTTTTATGATAATTCCTGGGAAAAATTAGGTTTCGAGTCACGAACGCAACTCTCAATATTCCGTTTGAGAACTTTGCAGAAATCCTCCCAACTTCAGATTAATTATATATCTGATTACAATTCAGATGCAATGGTTTTGTTAAATGCAACAAAATTGCTGTCTGCAATTTGTGTTGGGAACAGTGTTCCCAACACATGGCATTTTTTTGGCATAATAAATGAACCAAATGTATAGGAATGAAGTCTGTTATCTTTATCTGGAATTTTGGGAAGACAATTCCAGTGGAAATTATCTGATTAAAAATGAAAGTTTGCTTTTCTCCTGCATGAAAACACTTCAGACAAATTTAGACTTGCTGAAATAAGTCATTTTTATTTTTCAATTCAAGACATTTCAAGACATTTGACTTAAATAGCTGGTACATTGGTTCTCAAATTGATTTTTTCCAAACAAAAAATATAAACTTTTGAAATGCCCATCATAAAGTCTGAAAAAAAGTGTTTTGAGTCTGCAAAATTTTCAGGAGACTTTTCAGGTCCACAGACAATTAAAAAAAAATTCCTGGTCCAAACAGAATTTTATGGAAATGTTGCCAGTGTCCCAAAAAGGTAGAGGAACATTAACCTACAGAATACATAAGAGAACCTTCACAACTGTAAGCATTATGTAAGATTCCTATTATCAATGGAAATCATCAGACCATGAAAAAATTACACCAGCTGGTTTGACTGCGTAATGTGTACAAGAAAAAAAAATCACGGCCAGCATATGCTGGAATGCTGCACATTGGAAATTGCACAAACCAATTTCAAGCACAAATTAATTGCAAAAAAAAATACATATTGCACGCGCCGATTTTCCGCAGAAAATAGCGGCATACATTCACCACAAATTTGAAAAAAGTGTCTATAGCATCATCCCAATTAACACATAAATATTTTAGTCACTTTAATTGACATCCTGACTTAGTTGAACCTCTATATTACTGCATTAGAAATAATTGATCAAACCGAATCATTGGTTTACTTGATTAGAAAGTCTGCTGCTAAAATATGAATTTTATTCTTGAGTTTTTTGTGTGCATCACATCACATAATGTTGAACATATCTCTTGAATATACATTCAAATATCTCTCATGAAAATTGAAATACAGCGATTGACTTTCAAAAAATTAATAAGTCCAATTGGAAAAGGAAATAAAAGATTACATTCCGTAAAAAAAAAACCACCGACAGGTTCTTGAAAAATCATGAAGGAAAAAATTCTTCAATAGAATGCTGGGTTGCACAATAAGCTGAAGGACATTCACCTTTGTTCATCATTTCTGGGGAATTCTTGCCCAAGAATCAACTGGATATTCCCAGAATGATTTGAAAATCCTGTCCTTCATTGCAACCTGATGCACCCCAGATCCAAAAATGTATCAGATCCAAAAATGAAATTAAATAATGGGTTCCATTTAGATGCAGAGGAAATTTTTTATTGTACCTTGTCCCAGCATATGTTTGTCAGTCAGATCATCTATATTGGTAAACTTCAATATGGGGGCATATTTGATTTCTGGGTCTCCTGTTCTTCAGAAATCAGCAAGGAAGAACTCGAAGTTTGAATCCATTTGTTTATGAACTCAGTTCAAAATACAATACAGGGAATAAATGGGCCGAAGAAAACCAGCCAGAATGGAATATTTTAGCATTTAAAGGAGCCCACAAAGCAAACAAGAACAAGTCTAACTATGCTGAGCATCACACATAAAGAAAAAAACTACAAAAAATTGGCAAACAATTTCCGTGTTTCTGATTTTGCACTAGAGTAATTTCATGATGAACTTCCTCTTCATTTCCGCAAACATGAATAGCTTAATTTTTGTTCAAGAGATATCAACATTTATGAAAAATCTAATTTTTTTAGAAATGGAGCATAAGTTTCTGTATCATGAGGCATTGTCTATATGAATGATGAGGTATATATTTTTTTAACTATCCAAGTGGTCTAAAGTTGAATTTTCTTGATGACAAGGTGTCTGCATTTTTGGGTACAACAGTATACCAGTCAATAGAGGAATCTAGAATATTGTGCCATTGGTAAATGGGACAGTGAATGCTGTAATTTTAACAAATCTTGCATCATATTCCCAGCAGTCAAAAAAGGCTGGAAATCAGAATATGAATCAATGACGGAACAGCAAATAAATGGAAGCTTAGAATGCATACAAGGATTACAGTAAATATTAATTGCTCATTAGTATGTTTCATATTCAAAATTACAATTTCAAATGCTTGAGTGGAATACTGTATACCTCACAATTTAAATTGTGAACATGCTGGGGTTATGCCAGCATTAAAGGCACCTCTTTGGACACCCTTCCAATGGTACCCAACCAGAAGGCCCCTAGCCAAAAGCCCCCCTGCCAAAAACCTGCAATCTTTTTAAAATATAAAGAAGTGTTTCATATGCAGTATTTAGTTGCCCTGGAAAGGGCCATTCGGTAACTTCTGCTTTCTCCTTAACTTCAGTACAGAGATTAGCAGCAGCTGCATTGTGTTCCATATCCTGATGACTGTGTGCTGTTGCCTTCAGAACTTCTTTATCATCCAGATGAGTCACTAATGCTCCTTTACAAATATATCTTTTCCAGTTTGCACATTCCCAGCATCTTATGTATAGTGCTGGCTTTTGTGTTCTTAACTGTGAATGAATAGCCATTGCAGTATGCCTTTTGACCACCTGTTTGCTTTTGGAGGGTGTAGTCCAAAATCCCCCTAGGTCAAAAGCCCCCCTGCCAAAAGCCCCCCTAGGTCAAAAGCCCCCCCTGCCAAAATCCCCCCACCCCTTTGTGCAAAAATTGGGGATTATAGGTTTCCTTGTAACTCTTGATGCTAAGCTGCACCTTTCACCAGCAGGCACAAGCACAAGGCCAAGTACTACAGTAAAATCTCGTTACAACAAACTCGTGGGGACTTTCAAAAAAGTTTGTTTCAACAAATAATTTGTTGTAACGAGATTTTCAATATTAATGACTGGAAACATTTTTTTTTTTAGCTCAGATCTGCAAATCTTCAGAATCAAGTTTGTCTTTCAGTTTCAGAACTCTCATTATTGGTGTAAAAAATCAGTAATTTTCTTCTGAACAAATTTCTTGTTCACTGCTGCCAACAATGCAAATATTCTGGCAAAGAATTTTCAATGATTTTTTTCGCCCTGTACATCCAGCTTATAATCATTACTGTAAAGACACTCAGCAAAAAAAGCAAGGGATGGAAAAAATGCACAAAAGTTGAAAAGCACACAACTTAAAATGACCATTAATTTGTGTGGCTTAATTATGTGATCAGTAAATTTCACCAGAACTTTTTTCACACAATTCTCACTATTCCGCAGCATCCAGAACTGAAGTGTAAAACACTTAACTGTGTACAAAAAAAAGGTGTTGAACAGTCACTGTCCCAGGATGGACTGGAACCTCATAGAGCAATTAATGGTGCATGCATTTTCAAAATCTTTTCAGAGGGCACATTCACTTTAATTCTTTGAAAGTCGAAGCTATGAACAGTCACTGTCCGAGGATGGACTGGAACCTCATAGAGCAATTAATGGTGCATGCATTTTCAAAATCTTTTCAGAGGGCACATTCACTTTAATTCTTTTAAAGTCAAAGCTGAAGAACTGTTCCCAGGCAGGATGTTTGGATGAATTCTGTGGACTTCCTGGTTCATACAACGGTTCTAACAAAAGTTCTTGGAGTAGCAATGAAAATGGCTTAAAATTAAGCTGAAAAAAATTTATTCTTCAGGGAAAACATATTCTGTGGCACACACAAAAATATCAGCCCTGTTTCAGAATAAAATTTTTTAAAATTTAACCTGGCAGAGTTTTGCTTTCCACTCAAAAGATGAGGTGCCCTTTTTTTTATGTGTCCCAGCTTTCCCTTCAGCATTTTTGAAATCAACTTGGCATTCTTTCCAAGGGCTTCCTCCAGGTCATGCAAGGCAATTCTGCCATTTTCATCAACAGCCACCTTCACAGATGCCACATTGGCTGACACTTTGGTGGCTGTGAAGGGGGCTGTTGATGAAAATGGCGGAATTGCCTTGGATGACCTGGAGGCAACCCTTAGAACGAATGCCAAGTTGATTTCAAAAATTCTGAAGGGAAAGCTGGGACACATCGAAAAAGGGCGCCTCATCTNTGTTGTAACGGTATTTGTTGTAACAAGATTTTACTGTAATATGTTTGTAAGTTGAGTATATAAAGGGATTCCTCACCTGCAGTGGTCATCAGTGATTCTTTGAATGTCAAAGCATCATCACTTGCTGACTTCTGCAAAATCTATAGTTCACCTTGTTGATCCAATGGCTGGTGCACTTCAGATCATCAAAAATCAGAAGGGCGGTGAAAAGGCATACTACAATGGCTATTTATTCATTGTTAAGAGCACAAATGCCAGGGGGCTTTTGGCAGGGGGGCTTTTGACCTAGGGGGCTTTCCAGAGGGGCTTTTGATTGGGTACCAATTTTGGATGACCTGGAGTGCCCCAGCCATTGGATCAGCAAAGAAAACTTTAGATGTCAAAGGAATATGTGAACTTGGCCTTGTGCTGGGGCTACTGCTGGTGAAAGTTACACCTTACCATCAATAGTCACAAAATACATTCAATCCCTTGCTTTGCACAAAAGGGTACTCTTTTGGCAAGAGAGGCTTTCAGGGGGGTGGGCATTGGACCTAGGGGGGCTTTTGGATGACATTCCTCCTGATAGTTCCAAAGTCCTATGTATACATTCTCATAAATTTATAGTGGGGACAGAATGCACATTTATAATGCTGTAATTCCAATGGTAATTGCATTCTGCATGTACACATACGAAACAAATATCAGAAAAGTCCTCATCATTCATTCTACTCATTTCAAATGAGCTCTCAACCAAGAAATCCAACCAATTTTGCTTTTAAGATTTAAGCATAACCTCTTTGCTTTTTGAGAAGTCCTCTAAGACAAGAGGCAGTTTTGATACCAGTTGTCCACCATCAGTTCTATCTTATGCTTCAGAAATACACATGTTTTCTTTTTTTCTTGCTGATCATGAATTCTTTGTTCAACTTCCAGGCTCTATTGCAAGCCTAAGCTTGTGACCATTGAGCTGAAAGGGCATCAGAACTAGTGCTTTACTCTGATCTTTATTCTTCCTAAAATTCAAACACACATTTTTTATGAGTTTCAGTTCCTGATTTTAATGAATCATTGACCTGATGCTCTTATAAGACTATATATCCCCCTCTTACTTATCAGTAGAAGTTCCATTTGACAGTTAGAAAAGAAAGATTAATGAAAAATATCTTTGAAAGGGCCAAAGAATTACTTTCCAATCAACTTAAGTTGTTCTGTCGAGTTTTTTCATTTAAAAAATCAATTCTTTATGCCTGAGTCATTTTTATCACCAGCAGCCTTCACTCTTTGCACAAGCCAAATACATATCAAATAACTAATCCTTGATGGAGAATTTTCAGACCCAGTTTATAGGTGCATGTCCTATCTGGTAACTATTTAATTGTGGTTTGGATGTGCATGTCACAGAGGCAATGCACACCTGGTTTAAAAACCCACAGTTCACAACTTTTTGGTAAAAAAAAACCTTTGCTTCCTGGCAAAATGCCACTGGTAACAAAGAAAAATGTGACCAACAAAGTATTTTGTGCAAAAAGCACTTTTTTCACAAACACAAGTACAGGTACTTAGCAAATAATACAAAAATGGGTAGGTCACTCATGTTGAACTCAAATTTACTCATTTAGAAAGCAGGCGTAACAAGTAATGACTTTTTTATGCCTGCTTCTCAACAATGATCTGTTGCAGGCACACATATAAAGGCATGTGTCTGTTGAACTGAATTGAACAGCAAGCTTTTATTTTCTGCTTTTCAGCTTTCACAAGTTTCACTCATTGTTCCCTGATCCAAACCCATGTCCCCTCCCCATCCACATTCATCCAAATGCATTTGATCACATCAGAATGGAAAATGGAGAAATAAGCATTCCAAAATTGAAAAACCGTTGCAAATTCATAAACTTTCTTCCCATCCCTGATAACAAAAACAAAATGTTATTAATACAAATTGCAACATCAGGCAATTGCTGATCCCAATTTAAACACAAGGTGTTCAGCCTGCTCCCAGATAAGGTTTAGTTCAGGGGTGCCCAAGATACAGCTTGCGGGCCACATCTGGCCCGTAGAGGCATTCAAACTGGCCGGCCTGCAGACCATTTCAAAAAGATTGCCTTAGCTTAACAAATACCTTGCAAAATCACAAAATTTTCCTGTTTTCAGCAAGTTTTATGCTACATTTTCTTTACAAAGAAACCCCTGAGAATTATTCCCTTGATGCCTGCAGTTTACATACAAAATACCAGAGAATAAGTTAGCACTTTTGGAAGCTTCCAGAATTTTCAGTTTTCAGTCAGGGATGAGTGCTGTGCACTCAAAGTTGCACACTCCCCACTCCCTTGCTTTCCAATGCACAGCTTTCTGCAACTGTCCTCATTTTCAGGTATAATGTTACACAAAAGAATCATAATTCATTTATTTGCAGTGCATAATTTGAAGAAAATTAATTGAGAGTATACAATGCATTATACCATTATATATTTGTGGTGAACTGAGAATTATGTTGTTGGTTCTCCACAGTGTTTAGGTATATGCAATTTTCTGAGCTGGGAAATATGGAGCAAGGATAAAAAAGCACTTGAAAAGAAAAGTATGAGTTGAATTGCAGCTCTTCCTCCAAAAAAAATTGAAAATGGAATTTTTGTTTTGCAAAAACATGCAAAGCACAAATAGGGTTTGAGCACCGTCAGATGAATGGAAAATTTGGAGGGATTTAAGAGTAAACAATGCTCTTCTGGTTGAGAAAGTACTTGATAATTGATTTTTCATTCAAA